GGATTCCCTAAGGATTCCCTGGGATGTTGTGTTGTGTTGTTCGCCCCCCCCCCCCCCCCCCCCCCCCCCTCCGGACTGACCAGGGGGGCAGTGCCGGCCTCCTCCACTGTGGTGGAACCGGCGGATCCGCTCCCGCACCCCGGGGGGGCCATGCTGGCCTTAACGTTGTTGTTGTTATTATTGTTGTTGTTGTTGCTGTTGTTGTTTGTTGTTTTCTTTTCACCCCAGCCATCCTTTGGTGTTGGGTCCTTGTTTTGTCATAACAGGTCCCCGCGTTCTTATCCTCCGTCTCTTCCGTTCCTTCTCCTTGAGATAACTTCTCCCTGTCGCACCCGAGGCCAGTTTTTAGGGCGGGCCGGGCGTTTCGCCTGAGGCTTCCTCACCATTCATGATTCTGAAGCTCAAAAAGAGACAGCCGTTTCACAAATGGAGGGCGGGTGGTTTTCAAAATGCGGCTCTCGCCTTAGCGTCGCGCACATTCGTTTTCAACATGTGGCAGAGCTTCACGGATTGAGGGCGCGTCGCTTTCAACATGTGGATGTCGCCTTAGCGCCGCGCACACTCGTTCAAAACATTGGAACCGTTCCACGGATTCCCATGATCAACGCACATAAATTCTATTCTGTAAGGATTTAGGATTATGCGGGTGCAACAGTTATCTTGATTCGCGGTGTTGAACTCCCCAAAATGGCGTTCTGGTGCGGTTCCGGATCGTCAAGGCGCAGCAGTCAGACTGATGCGTGGCGTCGAAATGCCGAGAACAATGTTTTGGCATGCTTCCGGATCTTCAAACGGTTGTCTTCCAACTAGGAAGTTCCTTCTATGGCAATGGACCGTTGTAGGGCCTGTGAAGAGGGAACTTGGCGGGAGGGTTAATTCAAACATCGTTGATGACTCTTGGGTTTACACTGGTCCTCCTCCTCCCCCTCGTCCCTCCTCCCTGCGTTTCACCCACCCAGTACAGCGCTTCGTGGCCCCAAAGGGAGCCCCACCGAAGGTCCCAGTGCTCCCGTCCGCGTGCGTCCTGCACGCCCAGTATATCGCTTCGCGACCCCCTCCTCCTTCCTCGCTGCGCTTCGCTCGCCCATGTGAGCGCTTCGTGGTCACAAGAGGGAACTCCACCGACGGCCCCAGTGAGACCGTCCGCATGCGTCCCGCACACCCAGTACAGCGTTTCGTGGCCCCACAGGGGGGCCCACCGAAGGTCCTGGTGCTACCGTCCGCATGCGTCCCGCACACCCAGTACTGCGTTTCGTGGCCCCATACCGCGCTTCACCCACCCAGTACAGCGCTTCGTGGCCCCATAGGGAGCCCCACCGAAAGTCTCAGTGCTACCGTCCGCATGCGTCCCGCGTACTCAATACAGCCCCTCGTGGCCCCATAGGGAGCCCCACCGAAGGTCCCCGTGCTACCGTCTGCATGCGTCCCGCACACCCAGTACAGCGTTTCGTGGCCCCATAAAGGGGTCCCTACCGAAGGTCCCACTGCTACCGTTCGCATGCGTCCCGCACACCCAGTACAGCGGTTCGCGGCCCCGAGGGAACTCCACCGACGGCCCCAGTGAGACCGTCCGCATGCGTCCCCTAGGGATTCCTCCAGGATCCCCCAAAGATTCCATAGGGATCCTTCAGGGATTCTTATGGATTCCCTAGGGATTCTTATGGATCCCCTAAGGATTCTTAATGGGTCCCGGAGGACTCCCTAAGGATTCTTAAGGATTCCCTAAGGATTCTTAAGGATTCCTTAAGGATTCCCCAGGGATTCTAAAAGGATTCCCTAAGGATTCCCTGGGATGTTGTGTTGTGTTGTTCGCCCCCCCCCCCCCCCCCTCCGGACTGACCAGGGGGGCAGTGCCGGCCTCCTCCACTGTGGTGGAACCGGCGGATCCGCTCCCGCACCCCGGGGGGGCCATGCTGGCCTTAACGTTGTTGTTGTTGTTGTTGTTATTATTGTTGTTGTTGTTACTGTTGCTGTTGTTGTTTGTTGTTTTCTTTTCATCCCAGCCATCCTTTGGTGTTGGGTCCTTGTTTTGTCATAACAGGTCCCCGCGTTCTTAACCTCCGTCTCTTCCGTTCCTTCTCCTTGAGATAACTTCTCCCTGTCGCACCCGAGGCCAGTTTTTAGGGCGGGCCGGGCGTATCGCCTGAGGCTTCCTCACCGTTCATGATTCTGAAGCTCAAAAAGAGACAGCCGTTTCACAAATGGAGGGCGGGTGGTTTTCAAAATGTGGCTCTCGCCTTAGCGTCGCGCACATTCGTTTTCAACATGTGGCAGAGCTTCACGGATTGAGGGCGCGTCGCTTTCAACATGTGGATGTCGCCTTAGCGCCGCGCACACTCGTTCAAAACATTGGAACCGTTCCACGGATTCCCATGATCAACGCACAGAAATTCTATTCTGTAAGGATTTAGGATTATGCGGGTGCAACAGTTATCTTGATTCGCGGTGTTGAACTCCCCAAAATGGCGTTCTGGTGCGGTTCCGGATCGTCAAGGCGCAGCAGTCAGACTGATGCGTGGCGTTGAAATGCCGAGAACAATGTTTTGGCATGCTTCCGGATCTTCAAACGGTTGTCTTCCAACTAGGAAGTTCCTTCTATGGCAATGGACCGTTGTAGGGCCTGTGAAGAGGGAACTTAGGCGGGAGGGTTAATTCAAACATCGTTGATGACTCTTGGGTTTACACTGGTCCTCCTCCTCCCCCTCGTCCCTCCTCCCTGCGTTTCACCCACCCAGTACAGCGCTTCGTGGCCCCAAAGGGAGCCCCACCGAAGGTCCCAGTGCTCCCGTCCGCGTGCGTCCTGCACGCCCAGTATATCGCTTCGCGACCCCCTCCTCCTTCCTCGCTGCGCTTCGCTCGCCCATGTGAGCGCTTCGTGGTCACAAGAGGGAACTCCACCGACGGCCCCAGTGAGACCGTCCGCATGCGTCCCGCACACCCAGTACAGCGTTTCGTGGCCCCACAGGGGGGCCCTACCGAAGGTCCCACTGCTACCGTCCGCATGCGTCCCGCACACCCAGTACTGCGTTTCGTGGCCCCATACCGCGCTTCACCCACCCAGTACAGCGCTTCGTGGCCCCATAGGGAGCCCCACCGAAAGTCTCAGTGCTACCGTCCGCATGCGTCCCGCGCACTCAATACAGCCCCTCGTGGCCCCATAGGGAGCCCCACCGAAGGTCCCCGTGCTACCGTCTGCATGCGTCCCGCACACCCAGTACAGCGTTTCGTGGCCCCATAAAGGGGTCCCTACCGAAGGTCCCACTGCTACCGTTCGCATGCGTCCCGCACACCCAGTACAGCGGTTCGCGGCCCCGAGGGAACTCCACCGACGGCCCCAGTGAGACCGTCCGCATGCGTCCCGCACACCCAGTACAGCTTTTTGTGGCCCCGTAGTGAGCCCCATCGAAGGTCCCAGTGGGACCGTCCGCATGCGTCCCAGAAACCCAATATGGCATTTTCACCCACCCAGTACAGAGCTTCGTGGACACGTAGGGAGCTCCACCGAAGCCCCCAGTGGGACCGTCCGCGTGCGTCCCGGAAACCAAATTTGGCATTTTCGCCCACCCAGTACAGAGCTTCGTGGACACGTAGGGAGCTCCACCGAAGCCCCCAGTGGGACCGTCCGCGTGCGTCCCAGAAACCTACTTTGGCATTTCCGCCCACCCAGTAAAGCGTTTCGTGGCCCCATAGGGAGCTCCACCGAAGCCCCCAGTGGGACCGTCCGCGTGCGTCCAGAATCCCAGTTTGGCATCTTCACCCACGCAGTACAGCGTTTCGTGGCCCCACAGGCAGCTCCACCGAAGCACCCAGTGGGACCGTCCGCGTGCGTCCCGGAAATAGCGTTTCCAGGGAGCTCCACCGAAGCCCCCAGTGGGACCGTCGGCATGCGTCCAGAAATCCAATTTGGTATTTTCACCCACACAGTACTCAGTACAGCGTTTCGTGGCCCCATAGGGAGCTCCACCGAAGCCCCCACCGGGACCTTCCGCGTGCGTCCCGGAAATCGAATTTGGCATTCACCCATCCGGTACAGCGTGTCGTGGCCCCATAGGGAGCTCCACCGAAGCCCCAAGTGGGACCGCCCGCATCCACCGTGCTGCCATAGGGTGCTTGGGAGCATTTATTTGCGACCGGATGCGAACGCCATCTGTGCGCATGACCACTTGGCAAGTGCTTGCGCTTGGCGGGGGCAGGCAGTGGCACCCCTGTCAGGGCGGTCGTGCGCAGTTTTTGTTTCCTTTCCTATGGCCGCCTGGTGATTGTGTATTTATATATCTATATATAGGTGCCCCGCACTGATGGCGTTTCTGATGGCGGGGTGTATGGCGCAGGGGGGCAGCGGGCCAAGTCGAGATTCTCGTTGTGTGGGGTGCCTGGCACCGTCCATGTCGCCGTCTATGGCCCGTTCTTTTCCGGCGCGCCTCCTCTTCCCCGTCCCTTCCGCACAACTTTCCTGTCTCTCCCTCCTCCTATCCTTACAGTTCGACCCTCCTTTTTCGCACCACCTTCATCGCCCTTTCTTCTCCTATCGTTCCACCTTCGCCCAGTGGTGATACGTTTGTTACCATGTTGCCGAGTCGGTTCCAGAGCTTGGACCACTAAAGGCCGATCGGGGCATTCGTGCCGCCGTTTTGGGATTCGCCGAGCTGTAGCCGGTGGGAGCGGGCTTCGCCCTTCCAGTAGACAGAGAAAACAACGACACGTTGGAAGAGAAAGGTCAGCTTACCCCCCCTTGCCCCCTCTTAAGGACGCCTAGGGATTGGGCTCACCGCTGGCGCACAGGGAGTCCCTGGCAACAGTGGGCGTACTCCGTATACAAGCGGGAACATCTGAGTCTTTGAGGCGTCGTTCGTGCAACTGTCTCCGATCTTTGCTCTTCTTCCTCCACCTCCCTGCCCTCGCCGAGGCGCGCCAGCCGCGGCCTAGGCAAAACTTTGGCACCGCGTTGTGCCCACGCGCCCTGCATGGATGCAAGGCTCTCTTGACTGCTTGCCCCTGAGGCCCCGGCGCGGCCCCGAACGCGCGCCGTGGCGGACACGAGCGCCGCCCGCGGCATCGCGGCGGCGCCGGCCGCGCAGGCCTCGGCTGCATCGGGGGCGGAGGGGGGAGGACGAGAAGGAGGCGGCCACACCCACCTCGTTTCATGGAATGGTCCCCGCCGGTCGGTCGTTCCTTCTTCCTGGGCGTGTGCAGACCTGTGGTTGTTGGGCTTGGCCGCGCGAAAGCTGGGAGGGCCCCGGCGACACTGGAGACTCCCAGCCTCGGGCGGGTTTTGTGTCCCGCCCTTCCCTCAAAACCGTTGCAGTGGTGGGGAGAGCTGGGCGCCCCGAGCTGTGTTTGTCCGCCTCCTGCTGCGGCTCCTCCGTTTTCCTCCTCCTTTCTGCCCCTGCGCTCTGCGATGGGTGCAGAAGCGCTGCGCTTCTCTTAGCCTGTTGCTGCTTGCGCGCAGGCTCGGATGCCGATAACAACTCGTTAGATTTTCATTCACTCCTTCATTCACCCTGCCAGTTCGGATTTTCCTCCTCTCTGAGATGCCACCCGTCCGTCGTGTCTTGAAGGGTCGGCTCTCAGCTCGCAACCCGGCACGCAGAAGACCAGTCGGTGCGCCAGCAGCCCGTGTTTTGCAGCTCTCGTCGACGCTGAATCGGGAGGGAGGAGGAGGAGGAGGAGGAGGAGGAGGAGGAGGAGGAGGAGGAGGAGGAGGAGGAGGAGGAGGAGGAGGAGGAGGAGGAGGAGGGAGGAGGAGGAGGAAGAGTAGGACAAGTAGGAGGAGGAGGAGCAGGAGGAGGAGGAGGAGCAGGAGGAGGAGGAGGAGGGAGAGGAGGAGGAGGAGGAAGAGGAGGAGGAGGAGGAGGTGGATGAGGATGAGGATGGGAATTGGAAGGCTGAGGGTCCCCCCTGCAGGCGCGCCGGCGCGCTGGCCGGGCTGACGGCCCAGGGGGCGGCGTGCGCCCTCCCCCGGAAGATCCTGTCGTCGCGTCCAGCGTGGAGCCCCTCGGCCGGCAGGAGTCGGGCCCACCGAAGGAGCCCACTCGTCATGGACAGCGTCCTCCTCATCATCCTCGTCCTCCGTCCTCCGTCGTCCTCCTCTTCTTCGTCCTCCTCCTCCGTCCTCCGTCTTGCTTCTCTTCCTCCTCCTCCTCCTCCTTCTCCTCCTCCTTCCCCTCTCTCCTCCTCCTCCTTCCCCAGCTCAGGTCGGGCCGGGCGCAACGGCATGAAGTAAGTCCACAGGAGGGCAGGAGGTCGCCCCAGGACGAAACGGGTCCTCAGGTTTTTCGCCGTTTTCGGCTCGTCGAGGCCCTCTACGAGCCTCAGGCAGCGCTCGGTTGAAGCGACCGAAATGGGTGCGGAAGGAACGGGTACGAAGACCGACGGCATGTCCTGCCCATTTTGAACGCGACTCGCTGTCGGTGACGCCGCGGACAAGGCAGAAAGGCTGCCTGCCAAACAGCGGCAGCTGTCGGCTTTGGACAATATTTGTTGATAGGCATCGTACCAATGTTTTCCGCTCCATTCTGGGCGTCCAAGTTTTGGGGGGGGGATGGTCTCAGCTCCGGTCGGGCCGGGCGCAGATAATTGAGTTCACAGGAAGGAAGGAGAGCAGGACGCACGAAGGGAGAGATGCAAGGTGGGACGACCAAGGACACGTGAGAGGGGGAAGCCCGCGGGGGGTTGAGGGGAGGGGGTGGAGGAGGAGGAGGAGGAGGAGGAGGAGGAAGAGGAGGAGGAAGAGGAGGAGGAGGAGGAGGAGGAGGAGGAGGAGGAGGAGGCGGGGCAAACCGCTTTTTGGGGCCCTCGTGGGGCGCTCTTGGGGCCGTCTTGGGGCCTTCTTGGGGCCCTCTTGGGAGCCCGGTGGGGCCTCCTGGGGCTTTTTTTGAGGCCATCGATCACAGAAGGCGGGTCCTCGACCCCCCCCCCGCGGGGCGGGGCCATCGCGGTCGCCTCTTTGGGCGCTCTTGGGGCCGTTTTCGGGGCCTCTTGGGACCCCGCTCGGGGTTCTCATGGGCTGCCTTGGGGCAGTCCTGAGGCTTCAACAGCGCGCCAGAAGCAAACAGACGAGAGGGCAACAACCGCAGATGTTCCGCAGTTTGTTGGAAGGACGCTGGCCTCTCTGGGGGGTCCCGGGGGGAGGCTCCGAGAGCGCTTGGAACCGTCGTGTGGCCCTTTTGGGGCATCTTTGAAGGCGCGTTGGAAGCCATCTTCGGCTATCTTGAGCCACCTTGGAGGGCATCTTGGAGCATCGGAGGCCCTCTTGGGGCCATTTTGAGCCATCGAGGGCGCCCTGATGCCTCTCGAAACCACCAGAACATGTCCAGGGGTGGCGGGGGAGGGCGCCACTTCCCGAAGGGGAGAGGGTTTTGCCAAGGGAGAGAAAAGACATCGTCAGACCACCTTCGCCCAAAGGGCTGGTGGGATTCTAGGCGAGAGGTTCTGCGCCCCGTGACCCCCGGCGCTGTCGCGCGGACCCCGCGTCAGATGATTGGGGTTAGGTCGGGCATGTCCCTCTACAGGAGGAATATTTTCAATCATAATACGGGGACGATGTTTCGAGTCTTTTTTGACAATGTTGGAATATTTTTAATTTTTCCTCCAAAGTCCTGTAGGCCCGACCCGAGATTGGGCACCGCGGGACTCCTTGGGGCTCCAGTTGGAGCCCCGAAAGCGTGAGCAAAGAGCGGCGAAACCAAGTGCGCCACGGCCCCGCGCGAGCCCTCGGCGACGCGTGGGGCCCGGGGGGGCTAGAGGCCACCGCTGCGCCAGAGTGGTTGGGGCTGATTCTCGGTCGCCCCTGGGCCCCCCGGCGGCGCCTCCGGCGCCGTCCCTGGCGCGCTCCGCGCCAGGGAGGGGGGTCCAGCGCGAATCCAAGAAATCCGCGCGGAGCGCCAACAGTTGATATTCATATGTTTTTTCCTTCTTCTAGTGATTTGTTGTTCTTGCCTCTAGGCCTCCCAGATGGGGTCCGAGTAGATGGGGTCGGAGGAACGCGATGCATCGGCAATGCGGCTCGATGCGGAGCTGCTTTCCTTCACGCCAGCGGCGCCGATGAACCGCCGACGTCGGCGGTGCATCGCCAGTGCATCGCCGACACATCGGCGATGCATCGCGGATGCATCGTGGATGCGGCTCGATCATCCGACCCCATCTATTCCGACCCCATCTAGGAGGCCTCTGTTGCCCATGGAAGCTGTCGAAGAGCTGGCCATTACTGCGTATGCTAGCGAACGTGCTTTTGAACTTCCCCAGCCAGTGTATGTTTGCCTGGTTGCACCCCTGCGCCGCCTGCCCTGTCCTTGTTTTCCTTCGGGCGCGTCCTTTCTCCCTCCTCCTCTTGCATGGTGGCACAATTTGCTCCAACGGCATCCCCGTTCAAGCCTCATATCTCCAGCGCAGTCACCCTTTGCCTAGCCGCCGGCGCAAAAAGTTCGCCTGACTGCGCTGCGCCGTCAGACTGAGGCCTCCGAGAGGCCAGCATCCAAGCGTGCCACGTTGTAATTATAGGGCGCATGTCAAGCTCAGGGGGGGAATCAAGTATTGGAGTGGGCCGATCCCCTGTCAGCTGTCAAGAACTGTTCGGCTGTTAAGAGCTCATCCCTGTCAAGAACTTTGGCTGTCAGCTGTCAAGAACTCTTCGGCTCTTCGACTGTCAAGATCTCTTCGGCTGTCAAGAACTCTTGGGCCGATTCCCTGTCAGCTGGACGCTGCGTTTTGGGATTCAGCTGTCAAGAACTCTTCGGGCCTGAGGGCTGCGATGAGTAGGGGGCCTATCCGCGAAGCCCCATGTGAGCTGGGCCGGCCTGCTCTCCGCCTCCGTCGACTGGGACGTGAAGGAGTTCTGTGGCGCCGCAGACACCCATTTGGCTGGTGGGGCTGGCCCCGGATGTGCAGCGCTCCCCGCTGCTCCTGTGCCTCCGCCTCCTCCTCCGCGCCTCGCCGCGGGTCTTCCGTGTTTCTGCTGCCGTACCTGTTCAGGACAATGATAAGGGCGGGATAGGCATAGGGAGGGATGCATCGACCTCCAATCGCCCATTGATAGCCGATAGGGGCCCGATAGCCCTAGCCTGCCCAGGAACGTGCGGATTCGCTATCGAGGGCCCATCGCGGACTTATCTGCGATGTATCGCCAATTCCAGGTCGATGTTTCCCCCCCTATGCCAGACCCCCCAATCGTTGCTCCTCACTCTCGAGTGCTGGAGTCAGGAGTTTCCTTTTTGGGGGCGCGATGCTCGCAGGGGCCCATTCTTGCCCATGTCGAGGACCTGGCCCAGAGCGAGCAGGGCACGTGCTGGCATATCGGTCAAGTTCTGGCGCCGGCAGCGTTGGACACATGCAGGAAGTTTCGAGCCAGAAGGCTGTCGTGTCCCAGTGAAGTCGCGCGTCGTGGCCTCTCGCACCTAGGAGAAGCCGTTCCAGCGCCTCCGTGATCGAGCCCACCCTCCCTTGTGAGCTGGTGAACGTTGTTGAAGATCGGGACGTTGGGACTACGGTCGGGGCAAGGAGAATAATGTGGGAGACGCAGCAGAGAGGGCAGGACGCCACGAGGAGGTCCAAGAAGTTACATTCCTCAGCTAGAATGAGTCAGGGAGTGAAAAGATCATTTGAGCCTGCGGTGATGGTTGTCGGCCATCCACCGCCCCGGCCCAACGAGCCCATGCTCGCGATGCCAAGGCGACGGGGCGCTGGGGCGCGAGGGCCCGTGCGATCTCGCTCCGTGCTCTCGGCAATGCTGCCCGCCCAGACGCGAAGAGTTACTTGAATGGGGTAGACTCTGGGGACAGATGGCCACTGAGGCCACAGTGGATGTTCTCAACAGTGGGAGCCAAACCGCAGATACACAGGGAATCTGGAAATCACATGCAGGGGATTGTTAGAGTAGCCATTGGAGCTGTGATGGAGGGGGCCCCATGTAGGCCCATGCACTGGTTACTCTCGGGAGAGACTTGCTGGTAATCCAAATAACATCTTGGCTCAAGTAACAACTTGTCTCAAATCGGGCATCATTTTATTTATAACTCACCTGTCTTGTTTACCCGGAGTGTGCACAGGATACTTGGGAATATGGCTCAACGCGGGGGGTCGACGACAGGATCGACGGCAGGTGAAAAGGAAAGCCGCAAAGTAAGGACGAGATGAAGAGTATGCTCGACTATACGGACATGGAAGACGAGCATCTGAGCAACGCCCCAGAACGGTTTCAAGAGTTCGCCCGTAACCAGAAGAAGCAGTTCGACATTTTGAAGGCCGTGGTGTCTGGCGTAAAGGACCTTCTAGACCGGGCGAGTATCGAGGAGCAGGGTGCAAGGAGGGCAGCGGAGGAGGTGCAGGATACGATGGAGGAGGTGGAGAGAGGTAGAGGGTATCCGTAACGACCTTGAGGAGATGTACATTACCAAAGACGGGATTGAGGATATCATTGAAAACAAACGTAAGGCCGATAAGGCGTGCCACATCTTTGACGAGGTCGTGTAGGAGAGGGTGAGGCGGCGATGGGTAAGCACAAAAAGGACCGCACCCCTACGCACGGAAAAGATCAAGAGGACGAAGGACTAGGAGGAGACGATCGCAGCCTTCAGATCGTGATTGGAGATTTTGAGGAGGATTCGGAGGCTCGGAGGCAGAGAAGGTGATCGAGACCATCGAGGCTTTCCCTGGAGGATGGCAACAAAAAACACAGCGTTTCGAATGTGTTTGCTTTGTACCTTTGCGAATCCTACCGCAGTCGGATCCATACAAGTCGAGACATTGGCTGCCAAGAGGGGGTTTCTCAGCAAGGTCCAATCGTCCAGCAAGGTAGTGCATTGTGTAAGCCTGCGGTTTAAAAGCAGCCGTAGTTGAGGACAGGGAAAAGGACAATCTATTAGGTATGGCCAAACACCACCTGATCGAAGACAAAGGCCTCGACAAACAAGATGTGAGGATCTTCTGGGACGAGGGCTTCGTGAGTTCAAGCAAGTCGCCTGGCTTTTGGACGGGGCCGATGACCACCGTCGGCGAGACGAACGGCATCGAGGGCACCGTAGAGGATAACATGCCTACATGGAGCGACGAGCGTGTGTGTGTGAGTGTGTGTGTGTGGGGGGGCAATGCTTAAGTCGAGAAGTCGGGCCTGTCCTTCTACAGGAGGGATAGTCAGGGGACGCTTTTGTTGAGCATTGTTTGGCCATTTTGGGGTATTTCAAACTTTGATACAAATCGTCCAAAATCCCCCTGTAGGAGGACAGGTCCGACTTAAGGGTAATGCGCTCCATTCGCGAGCACATGAACCAGGTACCAGGGAACGTGCGGAAGATAGGGCATCATCAAGCTCGCGTTCATCACACATTGGCGGCGACGAGCACGGGCATCAGCAGAGTTGTGGCGGGAGGGGGGTGGTTTACGAGCATGTTGATGGCGACTCGCCGGCCCGTTTCTGCAAAATTCTCCATGCAGACGGTGGCGCACGAACAACATTTTATTGCACAGATGTGCAACGTTCAAGACGGGAGAGCGTTTCGCTGAATTTCATGCGGAAGTGGAGTGTTTGAAAGCATGGGGCGCGATATTAGTGAACGAAATTTGGAGACGGACGAGAGGGATATTTTGATGTGCAAACCGGCCATCTTTGCTTCGGTTCAGGGGGCGCGCCAGGAAGGACTGACATGGTGATCTTGCTTCACAAACGGTGGGCTGCATCTGTCATGTCCTTCGCGGGCTAATCCGACAAAGTGTGATGGCTGGACTTTGCGTCCGGGTCGTCCCGAGTACGGATCTGGCGCGGCTTGTGAAGATATCCAAAGTGCAATTGGGGGAGCTGCTCAGTCATGCCGGGGAAAGCATCCGCGAGGCAAAACGAGTCGCACGCAGCTCAGCGACAAGGCTCGGCAATTGGCTGCTGAGAAGAGGTGGGCGCGAACAACTCTCCTGGAACAGAGCGCTGGTCGGCGAAGGCAGTCAGCAATGTCTTGCACAACAAATCGAAACGGTGAAATTGGGCCAGGAAGCAAAACTAAATTTCAATTGTATTGAAAGATTTCAAGCGCATCGCGCATCTCCATCACATTCATTACAAGAGGAAGGAACACAACTTGAGCAGCGCGGTGGACGCACAAGGGCGTGAGCAGACAGGCTGGCGAGACAATGTTGACGCATTGAAGCAATATTTTGGCACCACAGACAGGAGCGTTCATTCCAGGTGCGAGACGGCCAGGGCGTTCAGCGCGCGGCAGACATGCATCCTGCTACAGCACTTGCGATTTTGTTCGTTGATGCGATGACTGGCCACGGACAGCCACGGGTCTTGTGAAAGCACACAACAGTAAAAGTTTTATTCAACAAGGGAGACCCCGAGCTTCCGCATAATTGCCGCTCCATCCCAATACTGTCGGTCTTGTGCAAACTATCCAGCATGATAATCAACGATCGCATGTGTCTGTATTTGGAGGTGGAGCAGTCTGTTGACCAAGCTGGTCTTCGGACGCGTTTCAGTTGCGACGACCATTTACTCACTTACGCGTTGTTGCAAGGGAAGGTGCGGGAGTGTCAGATGCCTCCATGTATAGCAGCAGTTGTTTTTGAGAAGGCGTTTGGGTCGGGATTCCGCGATGCCCTCTGGGGGGCATTGCGCGCGCAGCGCGTGTCAGAGTAATGCGTCAAGGTACTGGTACGATTGTACACCGGACAAAGAGCACAGGTGGTCGCGCATTGCGCAAGCCGCGCGTGCAAGTTGAAACGCGGAACACGACAGGGATGCCCTCTCTGCCCGGCGTTATCCAACGCAGTCCTGGAACACGTTTCGCGGCGGCTGAAAGCAGATTGGCGCCAGCGCCGCATCGGCGCGCGTGTGGGCCAAGAGTTCTTGACCAATTTTTGGCTTGCAGACGACGCATTGTTTTTGGGGCCACGAGGGCGCGCGTGAGGTGCGAGCGCGAAGACCCGCGCAGGTGGAGAAACGGTTGGCGTACAACTGCACGTGGGCGATACTGAAGTCGTCTCCAATGTGGGGGGGTCGCGCGGGTATCCGTCGTCAGCGTCGAGTTCGAGTCTGCTGTGGCTATGACGAGGTGTTGCAATATGATGGCGAGACTATGTATCTCGGGAGATTGATTCCTGTCAGTGACATTCGCGACCGGGACACTCGGCGCAGGATTTCTAGAGGTTGGACCGCGTTCGGCATGCGCAAAACAGAGATCACAAACAGCCATTACCCGTTGAGGTACAGTTTGCGTTTGTTCAATGCTCTTGTGGCACCAAGCGTTCATTATGGCGGTGGATACTTGATGATGACAGCTGAAAGAGAGCGCAGACTGTTAGTGGAAGAGTACCACGAGCTGGCAGACTGCAGCGTGGAAATCGAACCTTGGGCGAAGTGGATCCAGCGTGCAACGCGCAGGGCCGAATGCCAATTCCATAAGTTCGGCATCCTGGGCAGGGTAGAGCAGCGAAGGAGCAGGACAAACAGCTTGCAGGGAGTTCAGTGCAGAGACCGGCGGTGGTCGAAGATTTTGGCAGATTGGAGCCCTGGAAGTGCCCGCCTGAGCGGGCGCTTCCGCAGGCGCTGGCAATATTAATTTTTCCACGAGGCTAGCGAGCTCGGCGCCTCCCTAGGCGCGGGCGCGGGACGCCCCCCCGCAGTGTTGCTTTTGTGGGCCATGGGCGAACTCCCCGCCGCGCTGGATACGGTTTTGGCTCGAGGTGCCTTCCTGGGAGCCCGTGAGACTTCGTCAACCTATACCTGGAGGTTTTTGAGTTGGACCCGGCGGGCCCGGAGATGAAAATGCCGATCCCTCTTGCTGCTGCGGTTGCAAGCCCATGGTGGGTGTCTTTAGCCGTGGCGGCGTTTCGACTGATGAATTAGGCATGTTCGATTGGTGGCAGAAGGTCTGGGAGCAAGTCGATCATAATTCCAGGCGCGCGCAGAGCAGATTGATCAGTCACATCCGACAGGAAGACAGCCGAGAAAGGCCAAGCCAAATGCGAGCTGTGTGGCCGGCGATGCTTTAGAGGCTGCTCGCTGCAGGGGGGCCCTGCCCGAGTCCAGTCGTTCGAGAAATCGGAACTATCGGTTCCCATCGTTAGCGAGTTTTTTTTTTGAGAGATTGTGCGAAGCCCCGGCATGTTGCGCTGACTTCCCCATCGCAGCCGCGAGAGCCGAGTGGGCAGATACTCTCACAAGCAGGGCAGCAATTTGCTCAGTAGTGAGACCAGGGAGCAGATGTTCTTGGAGCCTTGGCACCGCCCCGCGGATGCTGGCACTGCTTTTCCGATTCGTTCGCGTGGGTTCCCAGCCTTGGAAGGGACATTGTGTTTTTTCCCCGCAGTGTGCCCTGCTCGGTTGGCGTTGGGCCCCTCTGGCGAAGTTGGGTCGTCACCTGGGGCCGCTGCCGAGGACGGAGGAGTCCTTGTTGCAGGAGCTGCGGCAACTGTTGTGCCAAGAGGCTGGTCAAGCTTGCCGAGCCTTGCCCGCCCATCCCAGCCACTGGAAAAAAGGGTAATTTGGGGAGGCTCAGCAAAGGATTTCCGCACATTTCCACTGCGCCACAGTGCGCCGTGTTCGCGCGGTTTGCCGTGGCTCTGGCTCCAGCGCCGTCAAGGGCCCAGCCTGCCGTGGCCATTTAGCAGACTCCGTTGTCTGCTTGCGTGTCCCTCCTCATCCCTCTTCTCCTTCTTTAGCTCCTGCCCATCAGCGCTTTTCGTCCTTGCCCCCATCTTCGTCTGCATCGCCGTCGTCGTTTTCCTCCTCGGTCCCCTCTGTCTTCCTCCCCGTTCTGGCCGTCGCCCTCCTCATTTACCTGCTTTTTCCTCCTGGTCCTATTTTGCCTGTTTCTCCGCCTCTTGCTCCTTCCTCCCCCTCTCGTCCTCGTTTCTGTCCCCATCATTCATCCAGTTCCCGAAAATGGATCGTGCCGCTCTCTGTTCCGTAGCTTCCGATGCTCGAGGCTCAGGCGCGTGCGCGGCCACGCGTGCTCAGAGGTTCAGATGCGCTTCTGCTGCTCCCCTGATGCTCTGACGCCTCCGGATGGCCCCATCGTCGGGCGAGGCTAGCGACAAACACACCCGTCCTATCCCGGTGTGTCGCCGTGGTTTCAGGGAAACGAGCGATGACGTACACATAAATACTCGGAGGTCCGCGCGGATTTCTCGGATCGGCGCTGGACCCCCCTCCCTGGCGGGCGGAGCGCGCCAGGAGCTGCGCCGAAGGCGCCGCCAGGGGGTCCAGCGCCGATCCGAAAAATCCGCGCAGACCTCCGAATATTTATGTTTATGTCACCGTTCGTTCGCAAGGATTTGTCCCTTTTGTTCCCCTCACTCCCATACCCGTGCTTATGGCCGACTGGGGGGAGAGCGGTGTGTGCGGGCGGCTGCCAGGAGCTGCTGCCCAGCTTCAACGAGAGGCCTGGGGCCGACTTCGCGTTCGGCCGGGGCCTCAGCACCAGCAGCAGCAGCAACAGCAGGCTCAGTGGCAGGGGGATGAATTGGAACATCATGTTTGGTAGAATTTAAAATCGTTGGAGGGTGAGGCTGGGGAGGGGGGCGCAGAGAGAACAGGAGGAGGGGTTGGCCAGGGGCAGGATTTGACCCTGTCCTGTTTTTGCTCGACCTCTCAAGCGTAGCTTCTGGAGCCCGAATTCATCATCTGATTGTTAGGGCCCCTACAGCCTCTGCTGCCGATCGTGGCGCACTTGCTGGGGCCGAGGAAGTCGCGGGGCAAACGATTGCAAAGTGTCCCGGGGGCGGTCTGTCGCATGGTCTCAGTCGGTCCACTTCGGTGTCGGGTGGAGGCCTCTTCGGATCATGCTGCTGGAGGAAGGGTGGACAATCTAGGAGGAAGAGGAGGAGGAGGAGGGGGGTGAGGAGGAGTTGTTTAAGGGGGAGGAAAAACGTTGAGGATGGACCAGCGGGAGGTCAGGTCGGCCTCAGAGGGAGCAGCCAGGGGGCAAAAGGTATTACATTTAGAAAATCTAGACGCTTCGCGTAATCCCGTCGCTTCCGTAGCCCTCTGGCTCAAGCCGTCTCTGGGCCCTGGCTCCTCGGCCGGGTCTCCCAGCTCAAGGGGTCATCCCCAAGGAGTTTGCGGGCCGCGCGCTGCCCCCCGGGCCGCGCTCCGGCCATATCAGACTCCCTGGGTTTCGCCCCTGCGGCGCGGCGCGGCAGCCCGCCTGCAGGTCAGGCTTAGCATGGATGGGAACCCGATCGACGACGGATCTAGGATTCTTGGGAACTCCGCGGGTGACGACGCAAGCCCAGTCGACGGCCAGGGGGCCCACAGACTGGCTGGTTCAAGACATCCTCCCCCAGGATCACAGGACACCATCCCGCCAGGGCAGCCGTCGCCCCTCGCTCCCTGGGACCCTCCGAGCACGGGCGGTCCGAACGCGTCCGCGGACCCCTTGATCGTTCCCGTTGATTTTGCATACGCACGAGAACCATCGGCCTTCAGGCAGACGGGAAGAAGGGGTGCCACGGTCAGCGCCGCGAGACACACTGATATTGCGACCTTCAGTCGCTTCCCTGGGTTTGACAATGACAGTAATGAATCCTTCCCGCCGGACTTGTTTCCCCCCCTTACCCCGACACTTCCTCTGCCCTTGGCTGGGCGTCCAATTTCCTTCTCTCCTGGCGGTGAAGGGCAGAATTGGATCGCCCACGGCGATGCCAGGACCACGGGGGGCGCTGGCCCCACTCCTGATCAAGTGCGCCCCCCGACGGACTCAGGCCCATTCTGGCCGAGCAGGAGCGACCGCCAGACAGGCGCTCTCGACGATCGGCCCAGGGGCCTCACCGACGAAGGCGGGTGGCCTAGGGTTGAGGCCACCCAAGAGGGTGACCACGGTTACGACAGAACGGGAGGCGGACAGACGCCTGCCCATGTCCCCGATCCGCATCCTATGGGCTTGCGCCTCCATTCCGCCGAGCGCCCTCCCTTGGACGCTTCAATGCCGAGAGAAGCAGCCTTCAGCTGCGAAGGGGCCAATCTTCTAACCGTGGAGGCTGGCGCCCCTGTCGCGCAGCCGACCCCCCCCCCCTCGGACGCAAGCCGACGTCTAGACGGCTGTCGCCTCACGCCCGCCGCCCTCCCTGGATGCAGCAGTGTGGTGCACGCAGAAGACGGGCCTTCAGCCCTTGGAGCGCCGTGCGAGACAGCAGGTTTGAGGGGGTCTGCAGCTCGGGCGCCTCAAACGGACTGGTGGGCGCCGACGGCGGCGCGGCGACCAGTCAATTCTCTGGCCACTTCCGCGATCCCGAGGACTCTCGTCAGCCACCCGCCCCCCAGTCGGACAGTCGCAGACGGGGCGAGCCTTCAGCTCGGGATTCTCACGCGGGACGAGCCTTCACTTCAGTTCGAGGCTCCAAGGCGCATCGGGCAATCTCGGAAGCGACGAGCCTTCAGCTCGAGAACCAGAGACAGCGCCAATGGACGCCGAGAGCGCCGCAGCAGCTGCGACCACGAGTGGCGACGGCTGTCGCCTCACACCCGCCGCCCTGCCTGGATGCAGCAGCGCGGCGCACGCAGAAGACGGGCCTTCAGCCCGTGGAGCGCCGTGCGAGACAGCAGGTTTGAGGGGGTCTGCAGCTCGGGATGCCTCGGACGGACTGTTGGGCGCCGGCGGCGACGCGGCGACCAGTCAACTCCCTGGTCACTCCCGTAATCCCGAGGACTCTCGTCAGCCACCCGCGCCCCAGTCGGACAGTCGCGGACGGGGCGTGCCTTCAGCGCGGGATTCTCATGCGGGACGAGCCTTCAGCTCGAGGCTCCAAGGCGCATCGGGCAATCACAGAAGTGACGAGCCTTCAGCTCGAGGACCAGAGACAGCGCCAATGGGCGCCGAGAGCGCCGCAGAAGCTGTGACCGCGAGTGGCGACGACGCCGACCCTCCTGGCGTCCCCGGCGAATCCACTCAGGGCCTCCCCCATCAGGTGGATCTCCAAGCCAGCTGCGGGCGACCGACCGACCCCGCCGACTTAGTCGTAGAGGGGGCTGGCTCCGCAACGGGGCCGCCCCAGAGGAGACGCTCCGAGGGCCGCGCGGCTGGCGCAGCCAGCGGTGCAAGCGGATCAATCGGCTGCCGCCATGACACCGCCGCTCCCCTCCCTGGAGACTTGGGCGCCGCTGCAGCAGCAGCGCCCAGCTCCCACGGCGCTAACCTCACCGACGGGACTGGCCTTCAGCCAGGAAGAAGCGAGCAGGAGACAGTTGGGTTGGGCAACAGGGGTTACAGAGCGGCACGTCCCGCTGCTGAAACGACCGACCGCAACCGACCGCCCCTGGGAACGACGACGGCGTTGTCCGCGGGCCGACTCCGCACGCCCGATGCCAGCAGGGTCTCCGCAGACCCCGCCGGCGGGACAAGCTCCCTGGTCGACCTGATCGATCACATCGGACCTCCGATCGTCGTCGCGGGATCGCCCTGCGCCTCCCCTTCCTCGCCCACCCGCCCCCCCCCATCCACTCCTATCCCGACTCACCCCCTGGGCTAGAGCATCCAGACGGCCTTCTGGGCGGTAGTGGCCACGGCTGCGAAGGCCCGTCTCAAGGGCTGGACCGGGGGCCCCTCATCAGGACTGCCGACGGTTCTCCATTCGTGTTGAGGTGCGCGGCTCCCAGAGCGCCCGTTGCGCCCGTCCCTTCCCCTGCCCCTCTCCCGACCTAGCCCTGGAGGAGGAACTGCGGAGGGAAACCAGGGCGCCCCCTCGGACGCCGAGGATGGCGCCAGCCAAGCCCATAGAGATAGGGGACAGTACGCAACCGACCTGCACGCTCGATGGATGGACGCCACTGGGCACACGAACGCAGACTGGGCAGTCAGTCGGGAGGCTGACGGACCCATGCGTGGGCCGCGCGTTGCGGACGCTAGGGTCACTGGCAGGGGAGGCACCATGAATGCCCTCCGTCGCCACCTAGTGCGCATCGACGGCCCCTGGCGTGAAATTCCCGATCGAGGGGCACCGAGGACGCCGCGCGAAACCAGGAACCTGGAGCTCCTCACGCACCACGCGTGGAGGGGGCACCGCCCTGGTCACCCAGGCACACGGGTAGGCAGCCCCCTGCGTTCGGAGGAGTCGGTTTGCAGGGGGGGGCGGGCGCGGGGGGGGCGCCAGCGACCGCGCCGATGCCATCGCGGCCCGCTGCCCCTTCCCGGGACTCTCAGGAATCCCCTGGGGCCAGTCGGCCTCGCAGTCGGCGCCAGCGTCGCGCCGCCCGCGAGCGCCAGCCGGCGGGCGGGCCGACCATGTTGCGCATGTTTGGCGCGAGTGACCCGCGCGGGCCTCGCGTTGTGCCCGCGCCCCAGGGCGACGGCCCAGGCCCTTGTAGCCTCCTGCGCTGACGCGATGGCCTCGCGCGCGGCGCGGGAGCGGGCGCCGCCGACCGTTCGGTTCGGTTCCGCGCACTTCTCATGCTCGAACGCAAAGCCCCCCATGCTGCTCGCGCGCTTTGCGCGCTGAGCAGCATGGGATGCGACGGCAGTGCGTTCAATGGGAAACCGCGACGCAAGTTTCCATTCCCGCGCGCGGGGCGGGGTGTGAACTTGCAGATGCGCCGACGGTCGAGAACTCGCGCGCGCGCCCGCGCCTGCCATGTTGGGCGTGCGCGCTGGGCCCGGAAATCTGCGGCTCGGCCGCCCGATGCGCCCCAAAAATCGCACCGCCTCCCCCCCGCCCCCCTCCCCCTCAAGACTCTTCCGCGCTCCTGGAAAAAAACCGCGCCGCCGAGGCGGGGGCTCGGGCCGCGGCCTGATGGTCCCCGGGGCACAGGGGAATCAAAGGAATCAGTACGGAATCAGTGCAGAATCAAAACAGAATCGGCACAACTGCGACCCCTGATTCTGGCGGAATCAAAAGAATCTGCACGGAATCAATGCGGAATCAAAGGAGGAATCGGCGATGGAACCAGAATCGGCCAGAACGGGGAAGTAGGCCAGAATCGGTGCCAGAACCCATGGATAGAGGCTTTTTTTCCCGCGAGTTCATTGCGGCGGGTCCGCGACGCGGGCGCCCCGCGCGACTTCGCTGGTTTCAGCGAGGCGCGCAGTCGGCGTTCAGAGCCAACAGGTTGCTTTCAGGGCGATATCCTGGCGGCGCGCTGGCGCATTGCGCATTTGCGTATTCCTGGCGGGCTGTTTGAGGGCGACCCGGCAGCGTCGGCCGAATGGCCCACAAATACCGCGCGGCCGATCGCGCGCCCCATGCGGTCACGTCGACCGCCGTGTGCCGCGACGGCCGCGCGCCCCGGACCGCGCCATTGCCGCGTTGGATCGGACGGCGCAGCGCCCGTCTTCCAAAAGTCGTTACATGCATATCGCGCGTGTCGAGCCAGCAGCAATCGCTTCCCAGAAGCAGCCTTGACAGGCGCCCCATGCCCGTTGTCGCCCGCTTCCGATCCAAATCATAGTTTCTTAGGATGCGCTTGCGCGAATGTGAGCGCGCGGGCAAGTAACGCGTGCGCGCGCTTGGCGCAGCCTGGGAAATCCAACATGGAGCCCCCCGGGGGCGCGGGGCGCCGGCGACGCCTCCGCCCGCCTCCCGCGCGCCCGACCCCCCCCGCAAGCCGACTCCTCCTACCCTGCGTGCGGTTCCAGCAGAAGCTCTCCTCCCTGGGCTCGGTTCGCAACGAGCCACCTCGGCACCAACCCTCGCCATCTTGGGCCTCTCCTGGCTAGTCTGGTCCGTCACGGGAGGAGATCACGAAGGGCGCCTCGGGGGTACGCAACCAGACCCGACACAAGTGCTAGCCTTCCGCTTCGCGAGTATCGCCCATGACCCCAGTATAAGGAGGGAAAGACTGGACGCAGATGATCCCTCCGTGGCGGAAAGGCAACTAGCGCGTCTCGAGTACGCCGCCATGGCCATTGCAGCACACCACTGCGACATAGGTATGGAACTTCCGAATGGATTTGACACAGACAGCATGCTCTCGCCCACCAGGTCTCCCGGTGACGCTGTGCCCCCGTGCAGTAGCGGCGCTAAACGACAGGACGGTACCCAGTACCCCATGGACGACGAAACCAGGGCGTATGCGCATAGAGTCCTAATCCATGAGCGCAGGCAGAACATAGTTCACTTTCCGGACCACGGGGACATCAGACAGTGGGCCATCAGGAGGGGTAATCTTGAGCGGGTTGGGGACGATGTGCACTCGAGACGACAAGCAGGTAGAGGCCCAGTACCATGGGTAGAGCCAGCCCTAACAGGAGTAATCGCCAGCTCAACGAAAACCCAACTCCAGAAACCTGTGTGTAAAAAACAGTACGCGGGGGGGGGCGAATATTCCCAAGACGTCATCAGGCGAAGGGGGAGAGTAGTATTCAGATTGAGTAATTGTGGAGGAGGAGGAGGAGGAGGAGGAGGAGGAGGAGGAGGAGGAGGAGGAGGAGGGGGAGGGGGAGGAGGAGGAGGAGGAGGAGGAGGAGGAGGAGGAGGAGGAGGAGGGGGAGGAGGAGGAAGAGGAAGAGGAGGAGGAGGAGGAGGAGGAGCAGCAGCAGGATGAGGAGCAGGAGGTGGGTGAGGAGTAAGTGGAGCAGGAGGAGGATGGGGAGGAGGAGGAGGGGGAAGGAGGATGAGGAGGAGGAGGAACAACTATACGATATGAAGGGTCGTATAAGTAATAATAGTGCGACTAAGAAATAGACAAGCAATGCCGATAATCATATTATTTCGACGAATAGGAATACTTACAATCATAGTAGCAGCATAAATACAGCGAATACGAATAATACGAATAATCGTAATGCTACCAACATGAGTAAGAGTTATATATCTAACCCTAAGAATATGTGTGCTAATAAGAATACGGAGGATAACAATGCGAGTGTGACTCATACTAGTAAGACGAACGACTATTCACAACCATAAGAAGCGTGAGGAACTATACTACTAATAACAATACTAATGATACTACGAGTGCGAAGCAGACGAACCATACTGATAATGCTACTGCTAAGGATATTCGGAATACTAGTCATAGCATTCATAACATTACTAGTGCTGGTAATACTAAGCCGAATAATAATAAGAAGAGGAGGAGGAGGAAGAAGAGGAGGAGGATGAACATGGCGACCAGAAGAGGCACGAGCCGCATGAGTGCCTATCGGGGTGGGGCCCAGGGCCGTCTTGAGCGTCTTTGGGTGTCTCGGGGATCCTCTTGGGGCCTCCTGGTGGTCTCTTTAGGGCCTCTTCGAGGCCCCTTGGGCTCCTCTTGGGGCCGTCTGGGCGCCTCATTGTGCCCTCCTGGGGCGCTCTTGGAAGCTTAGGGGCGCTCTTGGAGCCATATTGGAAGACGTCGATCAAACAGAGGGGGTTTTCAATTAGCCTGTGCCTGACATCGCCTCTTGGGGCTCTCGAGGGGCGCTCCGGGGGCCCTCTTGGGCGTTCTTGGGGCCGTTTTGGGGATCCTTGGGCCCCTCTTGGGACCCTCTTGGGCCATCCTGGAGCCATCTTGAGGCCTTGGATGGCCACTGGAAGCGAAAGGCGAGCAAGCAAACAACAGGATCTGCTTTTATCCGCCCCCTGCTAGTTTCCCTCGTGCTTCGTCCCTCTCCCTTCCGCTTGTCCCTTCTCTCCTCCTTTCCTTCTTTTTTTTAGGGGCTGCGTCAACCACACGTGGCAGGTCAGGAAGATCTGCCCCCCAGAGGGGGGTGTGATCGAAGACGAAGAGGGTGGTTGTCGAGGGTTTGGAACTTACATGTTAAGCGGCACGCGAGACGATCAGAGCGAACAGCCTTACAAGGACTCTGGTGTTGTCATTGTTGATGCTGTTGCTGTTGGTGAGGATTATGATGATGACGACGACGATGCTGTCGATGATGATGCTGACGCTGATGCTGATGATGATGATCATGATGCTGATGCTGCTGATGATGATGAAGCTGATGCTGCTGATGATAATGATGCTGCTGATGATGATGCTGATGATGCTGATGATGATGACGATGGTGGTGATGATGATGATGATGATGATGATGCTGCTGATGATGATGATGATGATGATGATGATGATGATGCTGATGATGATGATGATGATGATGATGATGATGATGATGATGATGATGATGATGATGATGATGATGATGATGATGATGGGGTGAGGGGGATGAGGGGGATAGGCTCGGGGAGCAGAGGGAAGTGAATGGAAGGGAAATTGGGGAGGGCGAAGGGGGGAGGGGGGATAAAGGGAGGAGAATGGGGGAGGGCGAAGGGGAGGGCGACGGGGCGAATGGGGGAGTGTGGGAGGGCGAAATGGGGGAGGGCGAGGGGAGGGCGAATGGGGAGGGCGAAGGGAAATGGGGGAGGGGGAGGCGGAGGATGACGAGGGGTGGGGGGTGGGGGTAGCCCGGCTACCCAGTCTGCAGGCAGGAGACTCCCGCTTTCAGTTCGGGCCAAAAGGCGAAGAAGGGGGTGTCATTCCGTCGCCGTCGTTGTCTTCCTCGTCGTCGTTGTAGTCATTTTCGTTGTCCTACTCGTGACCGCCCTCGTCGCACTCGTCGTCGTCGACGACGTCGACGACGGATCTCTGCCCCGCTCTCTGCCCCGTTCTCTGCCCGCTTCTCTTCCCTCGCTGCTCCCCGCCGCCTCCTCATTTGGCCTCCCCGGTCCCTCCGCGCTCTTCCCCCCCTCGTTTCCCTCCTGTTCTCCTCGGCCCGTCCAGCGGCGCTCTCCGCACTCTCGGAAGCGGGGTCCCGCCGACGCTGCCTCAGAGGTCTCGCGGCGTTGGCCTGGCCGCTGCCGCCCGAGGACCCGTGGGCGACGGACGAAGACGAGGGACGAGAAGAGAGAGAGAGATAGAGAGAGGGAGAGAGAGAGACAAAGAGAGAAAGAGAGAAAGAGAGAACGAGAGAACGAGAGAGAGAGAGAGGGAGAGAGACATAGAAATGGAGAGAGAGAGGGAGAAAGAGAGAGAGAGGCATAGAGGGAGACGGCAATCTAGGTGCGCTCGCGCCACATCTGACATCCTATCCGTTATTCCCATGTGTTTTGTTTCTCCCTTGCGCTGGTATTTGTATCTATTCGCAGCGAGTGTCATAGCGGACCTGGAACACCCAAAAGGACCCGATCGCGTTATCGTAATATGAAAGGGGGAGTTGTGTAAATTGAAGGAGGTGGCGGATGGCGGATGAGCAGGAGGATGAGCACGAGGAAAAGGAAACACACGAGGATAGAGGAGGAGGAGGAGGAGGAGGAGGAGGAGGAGGAGGGTGAGGAGGAACTGCAGCAACGGGAGCACGAGGAACGGGAGGAGCAGGAGGACCAGGGGAAGGCGGGGGAGGAGAAATGGAGGTGGCGACATCGACACGGAGTGATTCGGATCCAGAAATTTGGGCCGCGCTGGGGCAAGAGCGCCAGTCTGAACGACCAGAGCAACGCGCCGATCCAAAAATGAAGCTAACGCTGCAGCGGGAACGCCATTTTGAACGGAGCGCAGCCGATCAGATGGCAAGAACGACAGGAGAGACAGGAGAGACGTATTCAGATCGGTTGTCTGTAGAGTGAGAGAGTGGTACGGAAGACAGAACGAGAGCGAGAGAGAGAGAGAGAGAGAAAGAGCCCGAAATAAGATGATGTTGCGGATGTTGACGATGATGTTGTTGATGGAGATGATGTTGTTGATGACGATGGTTATGATGATGCTGATGCTGAAACTGGCGATGATGCTGATGTTGATGCTGTTGATGATGATGATGATGATGATGATGATGGCGATGACGATGATGATGCGGATGGTGATGGTGATAGTGATGGTGATGGTGATGGTAATGATGGTGATGAGGCTGATGCTGATGACTACGATGAGTACTGTGGTGGTGGTGATGATGGCGACGACGATTGCGATGATGACGATGCTCACGATGATGTTGATGATGCTGACGATGATTTTAATGATGATGGTGATGGTGATGTTGATGTTGATGATGATGATGATGATGATGATGATGATGGTGATGATGATAATACTGATGCTGATGATGATGCTGACGATACTGATGCGGATGATGATGACGATATTTGCTGTTGCTGATGGTGATGCTGTTTCTAATGGTGATGATACGCATGGTGCTGCTGGTGATGGTAAGGATGATGGTGATGTGGATGCTGATGCTGCTGATGATGGTGCTGGGGATGTTGTTGGTGCTGATGCTGATGATACTGATGCTGATGATGATAGTGATGATGATGATGATGATGATGATGATGATGATGATGATGATGATGATGATGCTGTGGATGCTGATGCTGCTGCTGATGTTGATGCTGATGCTGATGCTGGCACTGGTACTGATACTTGTACTGATGCTGATGCTGGTTGTTGTGTTGGTGATGGTGTTGGTGATTGTGGTGGTGGCTGTGACGATGATCACGGTGGTTTCGGTGGTGGTGGTGGTGATTGATGCTGATGATGTTGAAGCCAATGATAATGATGATGACACAACGATAATGCTGATAGTGATGGTGGTGATGATTATGATGATGATGATGATGCTGATGACGTTGATGGAGATGCTGATGGTGATGATGTTTGGAGTGGTGGTGATGCTGATGATAGTGATCGCTATGGTGATGCTGGTTATCATGCTGATGCTGATCCTGATGAGCATGATGATGCTGCTGCTGTTGATGATGATGCTGAGGATGGTGATGCTGATGCTGATGATGCTGATGCTGATGATGAGGAGGAGGAGGAAAAGGAGGAGGAGCAGGATGAGAAGGCGATGCAGTTTCAGTTGGTATTGTCTGGGGGAGGAGGAGGCGGGAGGAGGAGAATGGGGGTGAGCCAACGCCAGGTTGCTTGACCACGAATGGTTTTTTCGAGATAATGCAGCTTGGAAGTAGATAAGCCTCGGACCACCGACCCGCCTGAATGCGGTCCAGATAAAAACCTCGGGTGGGTGTGGGATTAGCCGGACACTCCCTATCAAAGCAATTGTTGGTTCCCAAGCATACACAGCTCGCGCAGTTCCAACAGTCAAGGTCTTGATGCAGCCTCGCACGCTTTGAGGAGTGGTTCCACCACCCAGCGATGTTAATGTTCGCCCCCTTTGGGAAGTGCTCAGAGGTTGCCATCTATGACTTCGAGTTTGAAACATGTCGACCGTATCTGCTCACAGACCCGAGCAGCCGACACAGTGCCTCGACAACGCAAGCATCGACACCCGCTCTCGTCAAGAGCGTGCGAGGTCAAAATGACGGGCACGGCTTCGGGATGAAGGGAAGCAGCAGCTGCAGAGCAGCCCCCATTTCCCTCGGCGCTCCCCCGAGTCCCACCGCGAGACTGCCTGCAGGCACGCACGCGCGCACCCGCGGTCTTCGCTGGTGATTCTCGAGCTGGGCCGTCTCATAAGGCCCCCTTAAGATTTCTAGGCGCACTTATTGGGTCCCCCTTTGACCGCCGCGGGGGCCTGCTGATGCCCTTGGCGGCCGCTCTGGGGCGCCTTTGGGCCCTCTTGAGAGCAGCCTTAGGGCCCTTCGGGGTCATCCTCCGCCCCGCCCCCCCAGGCCAAGAGGATGCGGATGGGAGGCAGGGCTGATCTTACAGTCAGGCATTTAGACACATTAACAATGCGACGGTCCTCGATCTTCCTCCTCGATCGTGTCCAGGCTGGACCGCAGCAGTCCACACCTTGACCAGACGTGACCGCCCCTCTCTGTCTGCCCCACGACCCTGGCCCCTGACACGCCCTTGAAGTGGGCGAGCCCCGCCAGCGCCCTCGGCCGCCGCCGCGTCCGCCGCCGTGTCCCCGACTGCAGGAACCAGGCAGCGCCCCACGAGCTACGATGCCTCGGCTCTCCGGCTGGGTGTACAGAGGCAGAGTTCCAAGGGAGGAACAACCACCCGGACCGGACAATTGGCGTTTTCTAAACGGCCCTGGGCGTTTACTAAACAGCCCTGCCCTGTTTGAGTCCTTCTTTGGGCTCGTTTACTAAACGGCTTCGCGTGTCGGGGTGGTTATGATCGGGGTGGATTTTCTGCCCTGTAGTTCAGGGGCGAAGTTGGCGTCGAGCCTCGAGGATCGAGGCTTTCGGACGCCTTCGTCGGTCGTCGGCGACTTCCTATAACCCAAGATGCCAACCGGCGGCGGTGCCTCGCCGGGAGAGCTTTCCGGGTGTGCCAGGCCCGAATGCTATGCAGCGGAAGGTCAGGGGCTTAGGGCTTAGGGTTAAGTCGGGCCTGTCCCTCTACAGGAGGAATATTCAAACATAGTTTTTAAAAAGCTAAGGGGACGTTTTTTTGTTTACATATATGTATATATATATATATATATATATATATTGATTGGGGTATGTTTGGGGTATTCTTAATTTATCGCCCAAAATCTGCCTCTATGGGGGCAGGCCCGACTTAACCTTAGGGCGGGGAGAGGTTCAGGGTGGGAGTCATCGATCCTGCACTGCGCATGGATTGTGAAGGCCTGACGGCCAGTGCCGCCGACGCTAAAAGACATCGACGACGACCAGGAGGGGGAGAAGAAGAAGAAGAAGAAGAAGGAGAAGGATGAGGAAAAGGAGGGGAAGGAGGAGGAAAAGGACTCCCCCCTGGGACCCCCCCTCCTGGGGAGGAGGACCCGAGGAGGACCAGCGTGGGAGAGGGGAGGGGAGGGGGAGGAGGACCCCCAGGGACGGATGCGTATCTCACTCCCCCCCCCTCTGGGACTCTTCCCCACCTGGGAAGGAGGGCCCGAGGAGGACCAGCGCGCCGGAGAAGGACCAGCGTGAGAGAGGAGGACCCCTAGAGGCGATTGGAATCTGACCGCTCCCGCTTCCCCCCCTCTGGGGACCCCCCTCCCGCCAGGGAAGGGACAAAGGGAAAGGGGCTTCCTTTTGACGTGACTACGACCTGGGTCGATTTTTCTCAATCCCCGGATTCCTTCCCACGACGACGGGGGAGTGCTCTCTCCCTCCCGACGGGGAAGGATAAACAGAAAAGGCGTCCCGTCGACGGGGCCAGACAGACCCTTTACGCACGCCGACAGGGTCGGCGGACTTGTTATCGGGGGCATATCGCTGATCTATCGGCGATGTATCGCCGATTCCAGGTCGGTGTTTCCTTACCTGGGCCGACACCATCCTTACAGTTTCCTCTCGCCAGCGGCCACGATGTCTCGGCCCTTCAGATGGGCGTGGACGAAGAGGACGACGAAGTGCTCGTGCAGTCGACTGGCGAGTTTCGTGCCGATTTGTGCCCAGATCTTGGCATGCTGCCCTCTGGGTGCTGAAATACAAATTTTGACGCTTCGCGTACCCCCACCAGCCCATCCAGAAACGATCAGCAGGGGAGTTGGTGAATCAGGGGCGGCAGGACGCATGCAGTCGCGCAGCCGTTTTCGAGAAAAGGATCACACATAGCTTCCCGCATTGAAGCTTAAGATGGGAATCGGTGCGGGCTACGATGGTGCTTCGATGACGGGTGAGGGGTGTTTCGATGGCTCGTAATGGCTGTTGCACTGATTTGTGTCTTAAACTCGCGTGCGTTCCGAAACTTGGAGGCATATTGGGGCTCTCTTGGGATTCTCTTGGGCCCCTCTTGGGGCCTCCTGGGGCTCTTCCTTGGGGCTCTCCTGAGGTTCTCTTAGGGCCCTTTCGGGCCTTCTTGGGGCTTCTTGGGGCTCTTTTGGGGCGTCTTGGGGCCCGCTTGGGGCTCTTTTGGGGGGGGTCTGGGGGCCTTTTTGGGGCTCTTTTGGGGTGCTTGAGGGGCCTCTCGGGGCCGTCTTGGTCCTTATGGCTAAAGAAGGGGGGGGGGGGGCTCAATTCTTGCCCCCCCCTCGGAGGCTCAAACCTTCCGTCTTGGGACCCTCTTGGCCCGCTCTTGGAGCGCTCTTGGGCGCTCCTGGGGCCGTCTTGGGGCTCTCTTGGGTCCCTCTTGGGGCTGTCTTGGGCCATCTTGGGGCCATCCCGAGGCCTCAAGAGCCCTTTGGAGGCGACAAAGCGAGAAGGCAACAAACATTGATTTCCCTTAGATTTTTGAAGGATTTTGGCCTCTTGGGGGGGTCCTTGGAGGCCTCGGAGGGCACTTGAAACCGTCTTGGGGCCGTCTTGAGGCCTCTTGGACGCGTGTCGGAGGCTATCTTGACCCGTCTACCGGTATCTTGGGCCATCTTGGAGGCCATCTTGCGCTCTCGGAGGCCCTCTTGGAGCCATCTTGGGCCATCTTGGACGCTGCTATGGGTCCGTCCCCCCCCCGTCCAAACGCAGGGAGGGGGGGGAGGTAAACCTCCCGAGCAGGGAAAGGCAGGAGGTTGGAAAGGGAAACGCCCTAGACCACCTGCGCCCAGAGGGCTGGTGGGACTTCTGAGTGTACCGCTCATAATAGACTGGGTGATTATTCAAGTGCCTTGCTCCATTCCGCCGACCCCCAGAGGAGAAACGAAGCCCCCGGCTGAGGCCTTTTTTTTTCCCCCTCGTGAACATTTTTGGAAGAGCCTAATGGGGGCATCTGTTGGACCTCTTGGAGACCCCTGGGAGCCTCTTAGGGGTCTGTTGAGCGTGTGCCGGCGGTCTCAGAGATTCTCTTGGGGCGGAGGGCTCGCAATCTGAGTTCTTCGAGTTCACCCTCTGAAGCCCCTCTTCAGGCTATTTTGGGGCCCTCTTGGGCCGTCTTGAGCCGTGCTGTGGCCTTCTTAGGGACCTCTTTGGGCGGTGATACAGCGATCTTGGAGGCGCCTCTCGGAGCGCTTTGGAAGCTGTTGAAACCAAGGGTGAACTTGGAACTCGGTGCACATTCAAGTTTCTTTAGGAATTGGGGCGATTTTTGCTTCTCGGGGCTCTTTGTAGAAATGGAAGCTCTGGAGGCCCCGGGGGAGCGTTCAGGAGCCCAGGGAGCCCCCCCTTCCCCCCCCTCATTTCCCGCCCCCCCCTTTTAACAGATCTCAGACGCCAGGGAAGGGGGAAACGGGGGAAGGGGGGCAGTCTAGGCCTCCTAGCTGGGGTCGGGGTAGATGGGGTCGGAGGATCGCGCCGCATCGCCGAGGCATCGCCGGTGGGTCTTGATGCGGAGCCCGATTTTCTCCACGCCGACCTCGCCGATGCATCGCCGACGTCGACGATGCATCGTCGGTGCATCACCGATGCATCACCGATGCATCGCCGATGTATCGGCGATGCGGCGAGATCCTCGGACCCCGTCCACTCTGACCCCATCGCGGGGGTCGGCGGATCCCCGATCTGTTGTTGCGTGATCAAGTGTTGGCCGAAGCGTCATCACAAGCAGTACGGTTCGCTGTTTGGAGCGTTTTGCACCACAGTGGAGAGGATGAGACAAGGGGACCAGCATCTTCGGGTCCAAATTTCTTGGCACCTCTAGAATTCCTGATCATGCTGGGCGAAACCTGGGATACCGAGGGTTCGCCGCACCGCTGGCATCTAGAACAAGTGAGCACATGCCGATGAAGATTGCCATATGACCTACGCACGCGCGTTGACATCCAGAGTCGAAGCTGGTCTGATGTCACTCCTCCTCTGGTCGCGGCGCGGCTGCCCACGCACCACGGAGGCGGATGCCCGCCGAAGAGGCACGATCAGCCTCATGCTGCCTCACGGCGTGCGTGCGCAGTATTTCCCCTTGAAACGTCCTCCCCCTCTGTCACCTGTCCTCCTCTGCTGCTGCCTCCGCCCTCGCCCTCTTCGCCTCCCTAGGCGCACGGCACGCCCGGGCCACCCCCTCTCCGCAGAGCCGGACCGCGGCACGGCCGCCTCCCCCCCCCGCCGCCCGCCGCCTGCCAGGATGCGCGCGGAGAGCTGGCCGTGCACGCCGTCCCCAGCTGCAGTCGGCACGCCGGGCCAGGACGGCAGCTCAAGGAGAGCGGCGGCCCGGTTCCCTGGCTCGCTGTCCCCTCGCCGCCGGCGGCGCGCCGGGTGGGGGGGAGGCCTTCTCTCGAGGCTCAAGTCGGGCGTGTCCCTCTACAGGAGGCAAGGTCAAGCATCGTAAAAGTTAGTATGGGGACTTGTTGTTGTGTACGTTTATTTGTTTGTTGTTTTTGTGTTTTTATTTCTGTTTGTGCTACAAAAAAATAAATATATGCTCTGACTACTTTTTGTTAAAATAAACAGATGTTTACACACAAATAAACATTAACGCCCAACATCCGCCTGTAGGGGGACATGCCCGACCTAACTCTAGGCCTCCTAGATGTGGTCGGAGTAGATGTGGTCGGAGGATCGCGCCGCATCGCCAATGCATCGCCGATGCATCAGCGGTGCGGATCGATGTGGGGCCCAGTTTTCTCCACGCCGACGTCGCCGAGGCATCGCCGACGGAGCCAGCGCATGGCCGATGCATCGACGATGCATCACCGATGCATCGCCGATGCTGCGAGATCCTCCGACCCCATCTACTCGGACCCCATCTGCAAGGCCTCCACTCTCGGAAGGCGGCGGCTTCCCAAAAGGCCAGAGGTTTGGAAGCCCGCCCCCGCTGACTTTTGCTTCCGTGCAGGCTGCCGACTCATCCTTCTTCCCTCGTTCCTCGTCTCTCGTCCTTCGCCCCTCCTGTGCCTGGGTGGTAGGGAGGGATCTGTCCCCGATTGTGGTATCGAGCAGCGTTATTGCAAAGCAGCCCGCCGCAGTGTTTTTAATTGTTAGGAGCGACGTGTGTGTGGGGATCGCGAATAGGTCGCGGGACGGGTTGCTGGTGGGTCGAGGGTGGGGCGCGGGTGTTTGACGGAGTCGGTCGCGAGTGGATCACAGGGCGGGTTGTCGACAAGAGTGACGACGACAATCCACTCCGCGGAGTCGCACTTCGACCACGCACCCACGGACAACGTGAGACCATTCGGCCTCTGGACTGTGATTATGTAGTGAAGCAAAGCTTAGACGTGCACGCTGTGGAATTATCATACGCATCTACCCGAGGAAATAGAGCTCAGAGGCGATTCATTGGAGCTGGAGGGTCCCGTTGGCGTGTTTTTTTGTATGGTCGCTTTGCTGGAGAAATCATCACCAGTCAGAACATCGGACGCTCTCCTCACGCAGATCGCGACGGAAGGATCCAACCACACAACTGATTGTCAAGATGTTCGCATAATGATGAGTGATGATAGTGGACGTGATTCTTGGAAACATTGCCGTCTCGGCTACGCCTGAAGCGGGCTGTCGAAGGTATCCCAGACAGTTCCACTACATGATTTGACGATCTCTGACAGAGGTGTGCGTTCGGGTCTGTGTGTGTGTGCATGTGCGCACGCACGGAATTACCCGCTTCATGCGGGGTAGCTTTACAATGCTACCACTTCTCACCCTCTCCTCCTGGAAGGGGAGGAGGAGGACGAGGATGAGGAGGGGGGAACGAGGGGGAGGAGGAGGAGGACGAGGAGGAGGAGGAAAAGGAGGGGGAGGAGGAAAAGGAGGGGGAGGAGGAGAAGGAGGAGGAGGAGGACGAGGGGGAAGGAGGAGGAGGAGGAGGAGGAGGTGTTAACATGCAAGCGTTCAGGTGACTGGGGCTGTTACCTTTGGCTCAAGTGTAACGGCTGAAGCCACCGAGACTCGCTTCGCCGTGCGGGGGTATAAAGGTGACCGATCATCATCACTGTCACTGGGCTCCCGTGCAGAACCCTCCTCGGGGTTTTGCATGGTAGCGGAGCGCGGTTGCCATGGCGGCGGCAGCGGCCGCTGCAGCTAGGCCTGCGCAGGGCGACCCGCCGGTTAACCTCAATGTACCGGCAGACAGAGATGCATGGGTCAACATGGACCCTAATCGCTTCAACGACCTGTGCGAGCAGGCATACCTGAACGGAGACTTCAGTTATGTTCAGACAGCGTTACTTGCAAATCACTATGGACTTGCAACGTTCATCAAGGAGCGAGTGACACAGGACCGAAGGGAAGTATCGAACGCCGAGGCTTTCCAAATGTTACAGAGCGCTCAAAAGACCAACAGCATGTTGTTAGCGATAACGAAGAGAAACGCTGCGCTTGAAAGGGATGCTCGCAGGTTGGTGGAAAGAGTCACCGAGTTGGAGACCAACAGCGAAGTACAAGAGAAGTTGATTGAAAAATTTGGTCAACTTTCGGAAGCAATCAAAGGAGGAAGCGGAAGCAAGCACGGGAGCGGTAAACCGATAAGCGAGTACAAAGCATTACAGGCGTTAAAGAACTTCAGTGGAGAAAGAGCAAAGTTCAGAGACTGGAACGACAAGTTCTTAAACGCGCTGGCCCAAGTAAAACCGAGTTACCGACCGGCACTGAAAATGCTGAACAAGAAGTTGGAGACACTCGACGGAGTTGTACCAGAGGAGGATGATGATGACATCATACGCATAATGAACGGTCGGTTAACAGCAAGCGAATACTTGAAGGCGAATCCAGCTAAACAAGCAGAGGATGACAACAAAGGAGAGTATGAGTTTACCGAGGGAGACAAAACTCAAATGGAGGAAGACTTATGGTACATCCTTAACGAAAAGCTCGAAGGTGCAGAAGCAAGAGGAAAATTGAAGGGACGTACGGATGGTGATGGAATCATGGCTTGACAAAAGGTCTACAAGTGGTACTCGGCTGTTACCGGAGCGACCCTTTCCTCAAAGATGACACGCGCCATGAACCCTGAGCCGCCCAAGAAAATTACCGACACTGTTGCCCGACTTGAGGAGTGGAGCGCATTAGCGGAGAACCTTGAAAAGTATGGCAAAGATTACTCTCTGCCCCTCCCCTTTAAGGTTACCGCGCTCAGGGCAATAATGGTGCATGCGAACGATTGGTTTGACGAGTGGCAGCAGGCGTGCTGGCGAACGCCCGACGCGCTTAACATTGACTCATTCCAGAAGCTATACTCCAAGTGCGAAGATTGGGCGCGTAAAAAGAAACTCGACTCAGACACCGAGAATAAAGATGCGATGGACATTGGAAATATCAACGAGACGAGTCAAGGGTCCGAAAATGTCTGGGATCAGACAGGATGGGTTGGCGAGGGCGGAAATTGGTGGCCAGAGGACGGATCTTGGAGTTACGGGTCCTGGGCTAATGAGAGCGACAGTGGAGATCATGAAGAAGTCGACGCCGTAAACAAGGGTAAAGGTAAAGGCACAGGCCCCAAATGTTACAATTGCGGAGGCATGGGTCATTTAGCCAGGAACTGCACAAAGCCTAAACAGTTCACCAAAGGAGGCAAAGGTGGCAAAGGCGGAAAAGGCAAGGGTTACCGGGCCACCTACGGGTCCTACATGAGAGGTAAGATTGGAGGCAAACAAGGTGGTAGAGTGGGTGGCTCGCGGGGTGGAAGTTACGGAGGCCAAGGGAGATTTACCCCCCACAGCGAGCGTGAGTGCTACAAGTGCGGTGCCAAAGGGCATATCGCCGTTAATTGCCCGGGCCCCAAGAAGACCGCCAACGAAGTTGAGCAGGAGAGACCAACGGTGAACGCGGAAAGTGAACAAACCACCTCATTTGGCCATTTGCAGCATGTTCTCAGCGTTGAAATGAGGGATGAAGTGAACGTGCCACCGGACCAACTCACAGCTGAGGAGATTAACGGGCAATGGGCACTGCCCTCATATGCCAGAAAGAAAATGGCGCGTAAAGTCGCAGTGGACCTGAGAAGAGCCTACCAGGAGCATCAATGTAACGGGAACTGCAATCATGTGAATCAATGGGACCAGAGGATAAGTAAAAGTGTAAAACAGGAAATGAGTTGGCTGGAGAAATGCAGAGAGATTGGGCTAATCGAGATGCGAGACTGTGATCCAGAAATTAACGCGGTGCCACCTCAGAGTACAACGCATGAGACAATCGTGGTTACCGTGGACTCTGGAGCGTACAACACGGTAGGACCCCCTAGAGTAGGCACCTACTTCCCCATTAAACAAACGGATGCGTCAAAGCAGGGAAGACATTACAGCGCAGCAAATGGAACGACGATAAAGAATTACGGGCAGCGAGTGGTCACCGGCAAGAATGAACATGGAAACTCAGTCAGCATGCCAATTCAGGTGGCGGAAGTCAACAAAGTTCTGGGATCTGTCAGAGGAATGGTAAACGCTGGAAGCAGAGTTGTGTTTGACAAGGATCTTAACGGGAGATCCCTGAGTCATATCATGAATAAGGCCACAGGTAAATGCACAACCATCCACGAGAAGAACGGCGCGTATCAGTTCAACATCATGGTGCCGAAGGGACCAGTGGAGGCTGTTAATCCCAGGAGTGAAGTGAACGCAGCTGAGGGTTTTCCGCGGCCGGGAACCCTGGAGGCGGACTTGTTCAACTAAGCCCCTCATTGCCCGTAAGACCAAGCGAAAACTTAAACGTCTTTAACGCCGAAGAAGGCGAAGGGAGTGAAAGCGGGGGCAGCGAGAGTGAGTTGAGTGATGTAGAAGACGTGTTTGTGAGCGACGAAGCGGAGTTGCCGAAGAAAGTTTAATGCGACATGAAGCCATCAAGGGGGTAAGTTGAGGCGCACAATACAACGCATTTACCTTGCCGAAGCTGGTGCCCACATTGTGTTAGAGGCAAAGCACGCAGGCGCAATCACCGGAGACGTAAAAGGGAAAGGAACGGAAGCGTACCAGTAATTTCAATGGACTACATGTGGCTTAAAGGTAGAAAGGAAGAAGGCGAAAGTGCCAGCAATGGCAACCCAATCCTGGCCATGCATTGCAGGGGGGCCGAATTAACGTGGAGCCGAGTGTTGTTGAAGAAAGGAGTGGACTCATACTCAGTAAAGGTGGGATGTGACATGATCAGCTTTACCGGATATAAGAAGGTTATGCTCAAAAGCGATGGAGAAGCGGCAATCACGGCGCTGGCCAACAGGATTAAAGCGTCATGTGACCTCGACATGGGTGTTGAAGTCAGTCCTGTAGGCGACTCAAA